TTTTGGAGATAAGAGTCTCACAGACTTTCCTGCCTAGGCTGGGTTTGAGCTCTTAACCTCCCAAATAGCTAGGATTATAGGTGTAAGCCATCAGCACCTGTCTAAGTTGGCTTTAAAAGTTTGTATAGCATGATTACATTCACATTATAAACATTCAAATAATATACAATCATTTAGTGAAAAATGCAGAAGCCTCTAAATAACAGGCCCTAAGTCTCAAATTGAGTTCTTTACTCCCAGGGCAGTGCTCTGTGAGGCATGAGGTTCCAAAACATTACCTGTGGATTTATGCACACATATGCACGGGGATAGCAATTACAGGGTTTTTACATACAGTAAATCATCATGCATATACTCAGTAGCTTTTTTCACATAACAGTTTGTTTTGGAGATCTTCCCATGTGAGTTCCCTAATGGTGGACATTTAGGTTGTTTCTAATTATTTGCTCTTACAAACAGTGCTATAATTAACATCCTTGTAAATGTCTCTTTGTGCATATGGGCAAGCATTTCTTTAGGGTAGCTATCTATGGTTTGGCAATTTCTACTGCCTTTAATTGCATTGCCTGGTATCTGGCAGACAATCTTCTGCATGTACAATAACTTTTCATGTCCGTGCACCATTATAGTGTAAGTTTGAAAAAGATGTTTTAGGCAACAATTAGGAATCTAAGTTTAAGTTCAAATTCTGTGTGGATTGCTGTGGTCGGCTGAGGTGACAATTGAATGAAGAGATTCCTCTACATGTGACAAAGATCACACAGATAAAGGCAGTTATGGTGGCCTTAGCAGGTACGATGTCCCCTCCCCCATGCCTTAGCACACAACATTGTTTTGTTCTTGTTGATTTTTGTGCCAAGACTAGGGCTTGAATTCTGAGCCTCACATTCTCCCTTAGCTTTTTTGCTCAAGGCTAGTGTCTATCATTTTTTGGTGATTAACTGGACAAAAGAGTCTCTTGGATTTGAACTTTGATTCTCAGATCTCAGCCTCCTCACCAGCTAGGATTTATAGACTTGAGCCATTAGCACCTGGCTCACATCATGATTTTCCAAACATAAAAATATGATAAAATGCAACTGGGCTCAGTGCCTCATACCCATAAGCCTAGCTACTGAGAGTAGGAGGATTGAGGTTCAAGATCAACCTGGACAAAAAGTTCAAGAGACCCCATTTTGATCAATAAATAGACCAGGCAGAGTGGTGTGCACCTGTCCACTACTCAGGAAGCATAAAAAGGAGAATCATAGTCCAGGCTGTCCTTGGCAAAAAGAGAGACCTTATTAGAAAAATAATGAAAGCAAAAAAGATCTAAGGGTGTGGTTCAGTAGTAGATTGCCTGCCTAGCAACTGCTAGGCCCTGGAGTTCAAATCTCCAGTACTGGTAGATAAACATAGATAGGCTGATGGTGATAGATAGATAGATAGATAGATAGATAGATAGATAGATAGATAGATAGATAGATAGATAGATAGATAGATGTGGGGAACTAGATCTTAGAACTGAAGAGCTATGAAATCCTAATTTCTCAAAATCAATTGCCTATGGCTCTAGTGTTTGAATGATCCTTTCCCCAGTGAGTTGATAGAACTACTTTCCTACCAATCCATTTCCCACACAGGTATGTATGATGCTGGACTGCACTGTGTTGAGCTACTTTATTCTGTGCTGGCTACTGGGACAGACTTCCCTGAAGCCTTCATTCTGAGAATGTCCTTGCACATTTGTCTACTTCTCTTTCTTTTTTCCCCCATACTATGGCGTTTATACTGGGTGCTTCATTAGCTGTTCACAATCTTCATGACGTTACCTCACAATGGGTCAGATGTGAGAACATCTGCAGCAGTCAAGTGCGTTTTCCTCAGGACTTCACACTGAGCTTGCCATCAGTGTGAAGCAAGCTCTCTCCTTTCTCTCTCTCTCTCTTTTCATGACATTTCCAAGCATTGCTGCTCCAACATCAGTTATGTTGAGTCTTGAATGGTGTCAATCTGAGTTGAAAATGTGCCAGCTTTCTTAACATTATCTCTAACAGACTGCTTAATTAACCTGATGATACTGTCAATAGTATATTTTGCCTGTGTTAGAAAAGAGACCTATGATTGCGCTACTCCTCTCCCCTCCTCTCCCTTCCCTTCCCCTCCCTTCCCTTTCCCTTCCCTTCATTTCCCTTCCCTTCCTTTACCCTTTCCCTTCCCTTCCCTTCCCTTCAATTTCCCTTTCCTCCTCTCTTTTCCTCTCCTCCTCTCCTCTTCTCTCTTCTCTTCCACCCTATTCCTCCTCTCCCCTCCTTTCCCTCCTCTCTGGCATGTACCAGCCCTGTGTTCTTACTACTCACGACTAGTGATGTTGGAAGCATGCACATATACGAGTTCTGTGTAAATGGACAGAAGAGATTATAGGGCATGGCCATCCACATAGGCAGTAGTTACTTGGAGTTACATAGGCCACTATCCCACTAGGGAGCTTTGGAGCAGCCATCATTCAGAAGTGGGCTTTAAGCTTTTTTTTTTCCTGTCTTTTTTTTTCATCCATCTAGCTTAGATAGGGCCCCCAGTAGGTCGTAGAGAGGCTGCCTGAGGGAAAAAAAAAAAAAGGAGGCTGGCTTTTGCCTTTGGTGTCATGTGGTTTTGTGTTTGAACCAAGCCCTTCTGTGCCCTGCTACCTCTATAGTCCACATCTGGGAATTGTAGATGCCACCATGAACCTGGGGCTGGTCTACATCTCCAAGTTGACACACTCTCTTCTTTGTCTGCCAGGCTTTCTCACACATATACATACAAAATAGGGACTGGAGACATTTTGACTGTCTTCAGCTTCCTCTGACCTGGTGTGGGTGTGGGTGTGGGTGCAGCCTGTGCTCAGAGATCACATAACTGTAATCTGGCTCTGCCTGAAGTGGTGGTGGCGGCAGTGGTGGTGTTGATGGTGGTGCTGGTGGCGGCAGTGGTGGAAGGTATTCTCAGGCGGCAGGGATCCATGTCTCTCAGGGCAGAAAGCCCTTCTCCCCTCCAGTGATTTTCTTGGTTATTATGGGAACCGAACCTAGCAGCCTCAACTTGGGGATGCAGAGCATAGCTCCAACCACTAGAGGGCGGGTCAGTAACATGCGGCCAGGTACCAAGACCTTTCAGGGGCCCTTTTAGGGCCCTGGGTGTCCTGGGATACCTGGAAAAACATAAGAGTTAAGACTGACCCAAACCCAGATGCCCCCCTTCCTCCAGGTCATTCCCTGCTGCTCTTTCTTAATTCTCCTGCTGTGGCTGAGATAAGAATTTCTCAATATCTGCACGGTTGACATTTGAGGACCAATAATCTCTTGTGGAGCTGTCCTTGGAGCCAAGAGACCTTTAGCAGCTCTGGCCATCCCATCTCCTATGCGCTAGTAGCACCTTCACATGCACTTCCAGATCTTGGGAACCAAAAATGCCTCCAGACGTGACCAAATGTCTCCCCAAATTGCCCCTGCTTGAAAGCCACTGTTGAGACAGGTGAGCGTGTCTGCCGTGGGCCCAGAGGACGGGAGGCTTGAGGGGGCCCGCTGTGGTTAGCATTACACAGTGTGGAGACAGCAGAGATGACATATGTGCTCTAAATACATTTTAGAACTGTGTTTTGCTCTCCTGCTTTTCCTCTCCAAAGACTGCAAAGCCTCTCGGTCTTTGCCTTGGTTTATTCCACCTCCTCCCTTTATGGCAATAGAGACTGAGGTTCAGAGGGCCCAAGCTTTTAAGCCACCCCTCATCTCCAGAGGCCTTGTCCCCCAGCTGTGAGCACTCTGGACTGTGGGGCTCCCTAGCCATTGGCTTTGACCTCAGGAGCATCTGTGGGCTCCCTCCTACTCCTCTGGCACACTGGGCCTTGCCACCCCTCCAACTCCCCAAACCCGGTGCCCCCCCCACCAGAGGGGGGGAAGCAGCAGGTGTTGATGCTAATCAGCGTTCACAGCCCAGAACTGCAGTCGCTCCCAGGCTCACACACTCCCCAAAATTAAACACTCATTATACAAAATTAATTGACATTAATTAGCAAAAATTAAAACTTTAAACACAGCAAGGCGCTTTGGGGGGAGGAATGGAGCAGGCGGGCTCTGCATTTGTCACCCCCCTACTTCCCACCCGCCTACTACCCCCAAGTCTCCCCACTTCCATCCTGAAGCAGGGCTGGAGGAGTTCAGTCCAGATCTGTACCAGCACCTCACAATCAGCCCAGTGAATCCCGGTTGAGGATGGCAAGAAGAGGTACCCTGTGCTAGTCACTAACTGATTCATGCCCCCCAGACTCCGCATCTAGTGCTTTACTAACAAGCCAGGAGCCTCCTCTCAGTCCAAGTCCCCATGAGCTCAGGGAGAGGCGGGGCCAATTGAAGTGTCTGAACCACTCTGCCTGGCCCCACGTACCTGCTCCTGGGTACCTAGAGGTTTAGACACTGTCGATTGTCTGCTCTGTCCCACTTCTCTGTGTGACCTCAGAGAAGTTCCCCCTCCCCTCTGCATCTCCATCTCCATCCATATGATGAGGGGGTGGTGCTGGGTGAGCACTGAGGTTCCTGCCTGCTCTGGCACCTGCTGTCAGGGATGCAAATCTCTGGGAATTTGATTCACTCTGAGCAGAGGCAGGAGGGGCTGAATATGGAACATGGGAACTAGCACTTCAAGAGAGCCCCGGGTGGCCCAGGGAGCTGAGCTGCTGGTGATGGAACACCAGACCTCAAAAAAGAGGGTCTTGAGATCCTTCTAGATTAGAAGCTACTTCATCTGATTATAGGGCTTGCCATATAGGGCAGCGACCTTGAACTCCCTGAGCTTTGAATACTTTCCCCCTAACACCTGTTATTTTTACTTGCCAGGTGCCTGAGGGACTCCAGATCCCTCCCCAGGCTAATAGGATGACAGAACCACATCCTGAGCACCCTTGTGGCCTGAACAGGGAAGGAGCCAAGTTAAAAGCCATCCTTCACCTCACCCCTGCTTTTGCACCTCTCTCTCTCTTTCTTCAGCCAGTGCCAATATCTGCAACGTGGTCCTCATGCGGTACGGGGAGCTGGAGGAAGGGATTGATGTCCTGGATGCTGATGGCAACCTTGTGGGCTCCTCCAAGATTGCAGCCAGACATGTAAGTTGGCCGGGAAGGGGGGGGGGGGGGGGGGCAGAGGCCCTGGGAAGGGATTGGTTTTCCCATAATATGTGCATCACCATAGTACGCTGTTTTTGTGCTCTGGATGTCTCCTCCTCACTGCGGCCTACCCCAGCCCCACTGTGTATGAGCCCTAGGCCTCACAGTCTGTTCCCAGTCAAATTTGTCCCCTCTGATGGTTCCTCACTTCGACCTCCCTCTCATCGACACTATGAAAGGTCTCCATTTCTCCTCTCAGCCCCTCAGGACCCAACTCCTCAGTTGAGGTGTTAATTGGTGAGGGCAGAGGAGAATCCCCAGGGCTTTTTCCCCAGTCCAAGGCACAGGACCCTGCCACCACCCTCCCTAGGACTCCACATCCTCCTGGGTATGAACGGAAAGCCTGAGCAATGGCAGGTAGTGTGATTAGTGGGGACTTTAGCAGTGGGAGCCAGCACAGTGAGTGTAAGGATTTCAGGCTTGTAGAGGCCAGTACATGGTTTGAAGAGTGTTCTCACAAGACCCTCATTTACCTATGGCTTCCCTGGTCCCATCCACTCTAGCACATGGGACTTAAAACCCATATCCTGTGCTTTCCCAGCCTTTATCCTGATGGTTGATGGCTCATCCTGCTACCCCAGGCTCTGGCCTGCAAGTGCTGGGGATGGAATAAGTAGTCAGCCATGCATGGACTGAGCGTTCACCTCTGCTCCAGCCCCTGTCTCTCAGCAGCTCCCACTTGAGGCCAGAGCCTTTCTCCTGTCCATGAGGCCTCTTCATAGCCATAGATCCTCCCTCACCACCAGTCTCAGGAAGTTCAGGACCCATCCAGGGCTTTGAAGGGAGAGAGGTGCCATGCCAATAGTGCATCCTCTAGTCGGTTCCCTAGCTCTAAGGCCTTCCATCCTTTTCTCTACCTGGGACTAATCATGAAAAGTCCAAGTTCCTGAGAGAAACTTTCAGCCTTCCAACCATCATCAGAGTGGATTTAGCCTCAATTTTCTTTTTTCTTTTTGTTGGCTCTGGGGCTTGAACTCTGGGCTTGGGCACTATCCCTTAGCTCTTCAGCTCAAGGCAAGCGCTCTACTGCTTGAGCTGTAGCACCACTTCCAGTTTTCTAGTGCTTTATTGGAGATAAGAGTCTCATGGACTTTCCTGCCTGGGCTGGCTTTGAACCAAGATCCTCAGATCTCAGCCTCCTAAGTAGCTAGGATTACAGGCATGAGCCACTGGCCCCTGGCTTAGCCTCAATTTTCTATGTGTTCCTAGCCTCCTTCTGCAACCAGCCCTTGTGAGAGAGGTCAGCCATAATTCTCCGCACAACCCAACCACAAGGCAAGCCAAGCTCCTGCAGCCCTGGGCTTCCTTCAGTCGGACTTGACCTATTACTTGCTGCCTGGGGAAAAAGTAGGGATTGGTGAGCTCTGAGCCATTTCTGGGGCCTCCACTGAGGATGGGAGCCATAGGGCTAAAGGGACTCCCCACAGTGACTGTCCAAACACAGAACTGCCGCTGAGTTGTGACCATGCTATGACCCTCAGGAATCCCATGGGTTCTCCAAGAGCAAAGGCCTAGTCAGAGCCTACATAGAGACACTTCAGTTGCTTAGCAGAAGCTTTTCTCCAGAGCCAGGAGATGCCAGGACTTCTGAATCTCTAATAAGTACACCCACAACCTCTTCCCTCTCCTCAGTACCCAGCCTTCAGTGGCTCAGCTGGCTCTAGCTGTTTGTTCTGGCTCTTACAATGCCTGCTTTATTTTTTGGTATTATTGTTTTGTTGGTTGGCTGGTTGGTGATACTGGGGTGGAGTGCTTGCAAGCACCCTACCACTTGGGCTATGTCCCCATCCATGCTTTTATTATATTTCAAAATTAGGTCTCCAGCTTTTGCCCAGGCTGATAGGACCAAGAGCCTCCTACCTCTGCTTCCTGAGAAGCTGAGATTATAGGTGTTAACCACACCTGTGTGTGTGTGTGTGTGTGTGTGTGTGTGTGTGTGTGTGTGTGTGTGTGTGTGTGTGTGTACTGGAGCTTGAACTCAAGGTCTGGTACTCTTGCGAGGCTTTTTCACTCATGGCTAGTATTCTATCATTTGAGCCATGCTTCCAGTTCTAGCTTTTTGCTCTTCATCTTTTAGAGATAAAGAGTCAGATTTGTGTGCTTAGTTTGCCTTCAAATGGCAATCCTCAGCTTCCTAAGTGGCTAGGGCTATAGGCATGAGCCCCCACATTGAGCCCTGCTTCTGCTTTGTTTTGAGAGTATCTCAGGTCCTCCATGGACCTCCTGAACACCAGTGCCTTCCTGGGATGCTTCTGTTACCACCTCTCCCTGCACATGGCAGGTGACAGGAATCTGCTCTTTTCAAATGTGTGTGGTAAGAAGATGAAGATGTGGGGTTTTTTTCCTGGTGTCTAGAATATAGTTAGTGAACTGTGCCATGAATAATTCCATGCTGCCAGATGTGCACACACACCTAAGGCTCCAGGGCAGCAGTTCACTGCCAGGTGGCTGGCCCTCACCCCCACCCCAACCCCTCTCACCACAGCCTGTCTCCTCTCCCCCCTCCCCCCCCGCAGGCCCTGCTGGAGACGGCACTGACGCGAGTGGTCCTGCCCATGCCCATCCTGGTGCTTCCCCCGATCGTCATGTCCATGCTGGAGAAGTGAGTTGGGCAGCAGGATGGAGGAGCTGTTGGGGAGGAGAGTGAGGAAGAGGAACCAGTGGGCCCAGAGCAAAGGAAGGGAGCTGCTGGCAGCTTGCTCGTTTTTGTTTCAAGGATGGAAAATATCCTGCTCCATTTTCAGACTTCCAGACAGTGAGGCTGCAATGGTTCCTTGAGAATTCATGGACTTATGCTATGCAGATCCCATGTGACTATCCACAGACTATCCCAGAGACAGTCTGTGAACAAGGCTGGCCCAGTTCTGAGGGGTTGGCAGTTTGAGGGAGTATCTGTGTGCCTGAGAGAGAGAAAGAGAAAGAGAGGGAGGGAGAGAGAGAGAGAGAAAGACAATGAGAGAGAGAAAGAGCGAGAGAATGTCCATACTCTACAAACAATGCGGGACCACTAAGCGACAGAGGCTGGGGATTATAAGAAGACTAGATTTGGGGTTAGCACTACCCCTTGAAAGCATCTACCATGAAGTAACTTAGCACCTTGATGAGACTTAGTTTCTTCTTACAAAACAGGAGAGATGTTCTCAGAGAGATGTTCTAAGGATGCATATTTGTCATGACCATAAAGAATAAGTGAACATAGCTGGGTGTCTGTGGCTCACACCTGTAATCCTAGTTACTTAGGAGGCTGAGATCAGAAGATTGTGGTTTGAAGCCAGCCCAGGTAGGAAAGTCTGTAAGACTTTTATCTCTAATTAAACACCCCAAAACCAGAAGTGGAGCTGTGGCTCTAGTGGTAGAGCACTAGACTTGAACACAAAATCTCAAAGACAGCACCCAAGCCCAGGGTTCAAGCCTAAGGAACAGTGTGTGTGTGTGTGTGTGTGTGTGTGTGTGTGTGTGTGTGTGTTCAGTAATAGTTGAACAAATGAATGAACAAATGAATGAACAAATGAATGAATGAGTGCTCTCATTTAATCCTCCTAACAGTGTGAAAAGGTATGATGACATCCCCATTTTACAGATTTGGGAAAGAAAGCAAAGAGATGTGTGTCTTCTAATTATAGTCACACACTAGAGAATGGTAGAACTAGGATGGTCAAGGATGGTAGGCTAGCCTGGGCTCTTTCTATCACATTGGCTGCTCTCAGGTCTTAAGACCGTGTTACATCATCAGCATGAATTTAGGTCCTGCCCTCCATTGGGTCTGACATCAGAAAGACAAGTATACCTTGTCAGCCACAGGTGAGACCAGGTAGAGTGTGATGAGGGCCAGTGGGGGCTTTGCGAGGAGGCAGCACTATGGGCCCAGCAGCAAGGTTCTAGTCTCTGGAGAAGAGCCACACTGAGCCTGAGTGTAGGATAGGACTTTGAAGAAGAGTGGTCTTTCTGGGCAGGGTTTCTAGCTTGGAAGGGTCCAATCTGGCAGAAGCAAAGCATACTGGTACTAAATGAGGGGCCCTGTGTGCCCAGCTGAGAGGAACCCTCTCTTTTGTAGAAGAGGATGGAGCCTCTAGGTATTCCTGAGCAGGGGCATGTTAAGCACTGGAATTTAGGAAAATCTGGGACTGGATATGTAGCTCAGTGGCAAAGCACTTGCCTAACATGTTAAAGGCCCTGGGTTAGATCTTCAGAACTTCAAAATCATGATCATCATCATCTCATCATGTGGTATGGAAGTTTGCAAGTTTGCTGTGGCCCTTGTGTATATAGCCCCCTCATAAACTGAGATTGTCCCCAAATATCAATAACTGAAAGTACTGGCAGAGACAAGGAGTAAATGAGGAAGACAAGACTTCTGTCTTCAGTTCTGCTGAATCCTGGACTTTGAAAATGTGAAATAGGTCTGTCATGCACTGGTAACCTAGCACTTGTACCAGTGTGGTAAGACAGAGCATTCACAGGACAGGTGAAACATCCTTATTCTCAAATAGGCACTGAAGGGCATTAGAAGCCTAGGATTTGTAGCAAGCTGATCTCCTGGGGCTCAGGAAAGCTGCTTAGGGAGATAGAGTCCCACCTGCCCATGGCTGGTATCACACTGCTGTGAAGGACGGAACATGGAAGCACTTGGCTGGCTGGGCTATAGCGTTGTAGGACATCCTTTGTTCATCTGGGCTATAGCCCTGTCCTATCTCACAGTATTGCATTCCCAGCCCAGTATACAGGTCTTAGGGTACCCTGAGACCTAGAACTAGAACCAGGAGGAGGTAGGAAGTTGGTTCAGCTATCATCCACAGACCTGTCCATCAGCAAGAATTTGCAGAGTGGGAGGAGGGAGAGAGGACATGGTTTGTATTATTGCCTTCTCAGTCTGTATCTGAGCTGAATTTTCAGAAAGTGGAATGATGGTTAGTGTCTCTTGTTTCTTTGAGGACTTAAACTTTGATTTGGAAGCCTTAGGAGATGGTACTATGATTATTCTAGTTCTGAACCTTTCCAGCCTGTGTCTGGGGTGACACATTGTCTGGATCTGTTTGGGCTCCAAAGAAGGCCTCTGAAGGGTAGTGAAAGGTTAGCTATTTGAGGCTCCTGGCAGTTTTGAAAGTGCTTGGTCCTTTCCTGGAGCTCCTGAGAGGTTCTCTGGGGAAAAAGAAAGAGTCTAGGCCCAGAGTTCCCCAAAGAATATCAAAAGGAGATCTAGTTCATGTCTCAAAGACTTCCAGGGCTCACATATAGTGGGAACCACAAGAGTGAGTGGAAGGAAAGGTGGGGTGAGCTGAGATTTCTAGTAGCAAATGAAATCTAGACTCTTGTTCAACCACTTTCTGTCAGTGTGCTGTAGTCATGGAACTTTCCCCAGCCTCAGTTTCCCTGAAAACTATGGATACTTGTCCTCATCATCTTGCTTTTTGAGGCTTGTCCTTTTGCATTCTTTGTAGGGCCTTCCCAAGTACCACATTTTCTTCTAGTGGGAGGGGACGTCCCCCTTTACCCCCACCCCCACCCTGTGCCCGGGTTGGGTGAGGGGGTCTGGACAGGCTGGGAGAAAAGACAAAAGAACACTTACAAAGCAGCCTACTTGCAAATTAATGGAGTGCAAAGGAAAACTGCGCTCCAAGTGCTGAAGGAATGCACTGCACTGCGAGACCAGCTGTTGTGTGGTGGCTGGGGGAGGGGGAGTGCTGGGATTCAACTTGCTTGCCTCTGGCCTCAGTTTATCCTCTCCGGGAGCACTCAGAGCCAAGGAGCCTAGGCCTTCTGCTCGGATAAGATGGAAGTGAAACTTAGCAAAGGTTTTCACTCCAGAGACATCCTCTGCCCCCACCACCCCTGCAGGTATAGGGTTCACACCCCAGGCCCTCCCCACAGCATCTACTAGCTGGGTTCAGACCCAGGGTTGGATGCTTCCTGTATGTAACCACCACCCAATACAGAGGCAGGTGCATATGCCAGATCCAGAGGGCCACCGTTTACTCCCCTACACCTGTAGCCCTGAGACAGGAAAAACACAACAGACTGGATCTAAGCAATGTGAGGGTCCAGGCAGCACCCACAGTGGGTCCCTGAATCCGCTCCCCCAGCTTCCTTCACTCCCTGGGATCCGGGTCTTTCCTTTCTCCAGGCATTCGCACATCTCTCCATCTGCATATTTTAACTCCCCCAGCTGCCTTTCCAATCCCTTCCTGCCATTTCTCTCTCCTCCTCCCCTCCCCCATCCTGCTGTGTTAGCTCCGTGCTCTGGGCTAAGGACTCAATTTTGCCTGCAGCCTGGGACCTCCATCCTGAGTTGGGAGCTTAGGCTGGGAGGGGTGGGTGGATGGGAGGGGGGAGAAGGGGAGCTTCCTGAACCCTCACTTGCCCAGAAGGAGACTTCAGACAGACATCCTCTTGAGAGGAGTCAAGGTCACAACCCACTTGAAAGGAGTTCTGTCTGGTGTCCCCTTGGCCCTCAGTAAGAACCAAGGACTGAGCCCAGGTCCTGTCCCCACCTGCCTGGAAGAGTTTCATTCATTTTTCCCTTACCCTGTCCTGTCTTCAGTGACCCTCCAAGTTGTGCCTCCAGGAGCTTCCTGTTTCCTGCCACTGCCACTGGAACAGGAAGGTAGCCTTACTTTAGCTAGGGAGTCAACTGTGTGCCCCACCTTCCAGGTTTGGCTTAGAAGTTGATCTCAGCTGGAAGCCCATTTAGGGCCAGTATCAGCCTCTCCCAGTCTCTCCATACCTCCTGTGGAAGTCCAGGAGGTATGGGCTAGCATGGATCAGAAGGAGAGATTGAGTCTGAGCTTGCTGTAGGTTTCTTTGCCCTGTGCTTCATCTTTGGAAACTGCCTCTTCTCTAGTAGCTCCACTTTGGCTTCAGCTCTGGCTGTTGGACAGCTGGCCACAGGGATCTTACCTCCTCATTCATAAAGTAGGCAATAACCACAACTATAATGGTAACATAATTACTGAACACTTACTTGGGGCCTAGTGGGACTGACCCTTTTGTTTTCACAGGAGTGATGTGTAATTCTTTATTAATACCTGAGCGGGAGCATCCTGGCATGGGGTTCCTCAGAAGTAATCAAGGAATCATCAATTTAAGACTCATGATAAGGGTCTAAAACCTAGGATCTTATGGCTCAAGGGCCTCTAAGGAGTTTGTATTTTTAACCAGCCACGAGATCATTCTGGTGCACATGGAAGTGAGAACTACTGCTCCCATGTTGGGGCTCTTGGGATAAGTGTTCTAAAAGATAAGGGTGATACAGGAGTTTTGCCTGACCACACACCCACACACTGAGGCCTTGTTCCTTAAGGTAGTAGTTACTATAACAAATGCTTGAGATCATCAATTTATAAAGAGAAAAGATTTATTTGGTTCATAGGTTCAGAACATTCTACCCATGATCTAATGGCCCTGTTGCTTTAGGCCTGTGGAAGGCAACTCAAACCCAACCTCCTGATGGACAGAAAGTGAAGAGAAAGGGGTGGTGTCTCATTCTTTCAGTGACCTGAAGATTTCCTATTAGGCCCTCCTTTTTCCTTCCTTCCTTCCTTCCTTCCTTCCTTCCTTCCTTCCTTCCTTCCTTCCTTCCTTCCTTCTTTTCTTCCTTCCTTCTTTTTCTGTTGGTTGTGGGGCTTGAACTCATGGCCTAGGCTGTCCCTGAGCCTTTTCATGCTCAAGGTTAGCGCTTTATCACTTGAGCCACAGTTCCACTTCTGGATTTTTTAGTGGTTAATTGGAGATAAGAGTTTCACAGGGATTTTTCTGCCTAGGCTGGCTTCAAACCGCAATCCTCAGATCTCAGCCTCTTGAGTAGCTAGGATTACAGGAGTGAGCCACTGCTGCCTAGCCAGGCATCAGCTTCAATAGCACCATGCTGAAAACTAAACCTTTAACACACAGGGCCTTTGATGGATATTTAAGATCCAGAGATCTCTCAACTATGGTCAGGGCCAGGCCTACTTAAGTGGGGAAGGGACAGAGCCCCAACATGTCCCTTTTATACCAGGAGCTGGTCACATGTATGTTGATGTAACTGTTAAGGTCAGACCTAGTGTCCATCTAATATCCTCTGGCACATAGTCCATATTCCTGGTACCCCTGGGCCTCCCAAGTGGCATGCCAAATAGCTCCTAGAGGTATTGTACAGGTATGCTGGCTAGCCAGTGTGGCCTCTATTCTGTCTGAGGAATCTATTCCGTCCTGGAGATTAAGGACTTAAGGATCCTTGAAAGGGAGGAATCCCAACTCCAAAGACTGCTGTTATAAAGAGTGGGTACCAGCTGTGATATACTAAGGATGAAGCTGGCAAAGGGTCTTGAAGGTGAAAGCCAAGAGCTTTCTGTCTCTGGCAGAGTTGGCCTTGGCCTTGGCCAGATCACTGTCCTTCGCCAGGGCTCTTGAGTGGAAGCTGATAAGATGTTCAGTGGAAGGCCTTCTGCTCCCACTCGTAAGACAGGATCATCTCTTTTGGGGTTATGTGTGTGTGTGCCTGTGTGTGTAGGTATATGTGTGCTTTGTTCCCAACTCTACTCCCATGGACCCCCACCAACTCTGATTCGTTTGCTATTTAATTATGAAGTACCATTGAAGGTGATCAATGTGTGTGTGTGTCTAGAAGCAGGGCTGACAGACTTTCTCTTGTCTTCTTGGTGTGTAACCCTGATAGAGCCTGAATGAACACTGTGTGGGTCTCCTACAAGTGTCCATTTATGACTTGAGTAGTTGAAGGTACAGCAGTGTCTTTCATGTCCAGGCCTAGGGAAAGCAGTGATGATTGCAGAAGGACCCAAAGATGGAATTCCACTACATCTATTTAGCTGCATGCAGGCACTGGCTACGCAGCCATGCTTCCCTGGTCCTGAGGTGGAGTGGGACCCAGCATGGTGGCTAGCACCAGCTCACTCCTTCTTTGGGCCTCATAGGGCTCCTTCTTCTTCTCCTCAACAGGACAGCTCTCCTACAGGCGCGTCCAAGGCTGCTCCTGCCTGTGCAAAGCCTCGTGTGCCTGGCAGCCTTTGGCCTGGCCCTGCCGCTGGCCATCAGCCTCTTTCCACAGATGTCAGAGGTCAGTGGGAACTTCTTGGTAGTAAGGAGGGCGGGCAGATACCACAGTTGGGTCATTTGTTAACAAAGATTTATTCAGTGCTGAACCTTATCACTGTGCGAAGCACTATAGTTAGAAATGAGACTGGCCCAGGCTCTGACCCCTGAGTTGAAGGTTTAGGAATAAACACAATGATGAAACAGGGGATAGAACATGAAGTTCAAGGTTGGCACCTGTGACTCACACCTGTAATTCTAGCTACTCAGGAGGTTGAGATCTGAGGATCACAGTTTGAAGCCGGCTGTGGCAGGAAAGTTCATGAGTTGCTTATCTCCAGTTTACCACCAGAAAGCTAGAAGTAGAGGTATGGCTCAAGTGGTAGAGTCCTAGTCTGAAGCAAAAAAGCTAAAGGAAGCCAGGCAGTGGTTGCTCACGCCTGTAATCCTAGCAACTCAGCAGGCTGAGATCTGAGGATCATGGTTTGAAGCCAGCCTAAGCAGGAAAGTGTGTGAGATCCTCATCTCCAATTAACCACCCCAGAAAACCAAAAGTGATGCTGTGGCTCAAAGTGGTAGAGTACTAGCCTTGAGTGAAAAAGCTTGGGGACAGTGTCCAGGCCCTGAGTTCAAGACCCCTGACTGACATTACACACACACACACACACACACACACACACACACACACACACACACACACACACAAAGATTTTTTTTGTTGTTGTTAAAAAGCTAAGGGACAGTGCCCAAGCCCTGAGTTCAAGCCCTAGACTGGCAAAAGGAAGGAAGCAAAAAAGGAAGGAGGGAAAGAGAGAGAGAAAGGGCGGGAGAAAGAGAGAGAAAGGAAGAAAACAAAGGAAGGAAGGAAGAGAAAATGAAGTTCAAGGGGTTAGGATGTGGTTCCAGATGGATACAGGAGAAAATAGCACACCAGAACCTGGAAGAAAAGGGAATGTGCCTGAGCCTGGAAGCTGGGCACATGGGCTAGGGACCAGTTGGTGTGAAGGTCCTGAGGTAAGGCAACATATGGCATGTCTCAAGAGCTGATTGAAGTCTTCATTGAGCATGGCGTGGAACAAGATGAACTAGACCGGGTAAGGTGTACTAGGCTCAGGAGTGCAACTTGGAAGCTAAAGCAGAAAAAGGTAAATCTCATCCTAAAGACTATCCCAAGCAGAAGCACAGATTCCTGATTTTGAACAGGCCCTGTGGCTGCATCGTGAGGTTGGGTTGCAATTCTGGAGGAGAAGGGAACCATCAGGAGGCGGTGGCGGGTGTCCAAGCGAGCGATGATGGCGGCTTGGACCAGGCTGTTGGCAGTGGTCATGGAGAAGTGGGGCTTTTCAGGGAGAGTTGGGCGGCCGTTTCATGAGGATTTCATGAAGGACTGCATGTGGTGGGAGGAAAAGACAGCCAGCAGCATGTATGCTTCGCTTTCTGGTTTTGAAAGCAGAAGACAGATGTAGGTACTGCCTAACAAGATGGAGCCACATGGAGGTGGCAGGTTGAGGGAGGACAGCTCATGGGTACAAAGAGTCTCTGGAATTGCAAATGGAGATGTCCTGTGGGAAGCTGGTTCTGGGTTTGGAATCTGGAAAAGGGGCCTGGACTGTGGGGACAGGAGTAGAGAGTACCAGGCTTAAAAAAAAAAAAAACAAAATCCTGATAAGGGAAGCACTATGCAGAATGGTATTAGGGTGGGTGGGCTGTCCAGACTCAGTGAGGTTGGAGAGTGTCCACTGTCCTTCAGGCAAGGAAGGCCTACTGTCTCTGGGGAACCCAGGTGAAAGGAAAAAGCTTTCCATGGAGAGGAAAAGTGAGGAAGAGGCCCATATTGGTTCCAGCTGCAGGAATCTAGAGAGCTTTGTATCAATTCCTTTTTCCTTTTTGACATGTCCAGGACTGGGGGGAGCTTGTATAAATGCAAAAGGGAAGTACCAGGTGGAAAACTGAGGACATGAGAGGGCAGGGAAAGCAAGGTCTGTGAAGAGAGGAAGGGCCCAGGGTATAGAAAGGACCAGCCTTAGCAAGGAAGAGCCCCCTGCCCACAGAGGCAGGCAGGAGAGGGGTTGGTAGCAGGTATAGTTGGGGGAGGAGCGGTGCAAATGAATGTAAAGACGAAGGAGAAGGGCAGGTCCAAGGAGGCAAAGAACCAGCATGGTGTTTGGGGTGTTCATGGGAATCTAGGGCTGTAGACAGAGAGGGGCACTTCTGAATGTGTGATTTCAGGACTGGTTCTGCCTCAGGAAGGCACCAAAAGAGATGATGGCATCAATCTCAATCAAAGTTGAGAAGGTCTCAATAAGAAGCTGGACTAGAGAATGAGGATTAGAGGCCGAGGGCTGGAGAGCAAGAGATGGAGTCCCAGATCTGAAGGTTCTTGGTGAGAGTCACTTCCCTCCACCAAACCCAGGAGTTCTGGGAGAAAACTTTGGGGGAGGAGGTGAGGTTCCTGTCTTAGAGTTGCTGTCCTGGCACATGGTGGCTCTTGAGGGAGGTACAGGGAGATGGAGCTTCCCTGGTGTGTGACATGAGCCCAGCACGTTTAGGTTCTTAGTGATCAGCTTTGTCATGGGGACAAGGGACCTTTTCCCACCTCCAGGAAAGCTGAGAACTTCAAAACCCAGTCTGCAGGTTGCCTAGAAATTCTGAAGACAAGACAGAGGGTATTCATGAAGATAGTCCTCTGTGGTGCCTGGCATCCAAATCTCCAAAGTTCTGAGCCTGGCATTCCTGGAAGTCACATAGCTCTGCCTGCCTGCATGGGGTGGGACCCAGGGCAAAGAAATCATCCCACACCACCAAACCAGGGACTGTCACAGCTGGAAAGACTACAGGGTCATCCAGTTCACCACTGTCCTGACTCTACTGGGAAATGAAGGCCCACAACAGGCATGGGACCAGTCCAAGATCAGAGAAACCAAGTTGCTGACATGATACAAACCCCTGGAGACCACACTCCCAGTGAAGAGAGGCGGTCCAAAGTCAACCTCACTAAGGCTTCACATTCAAGCTGAGGTTCCTGTTCCCTATGCCTATTCAAATAAGTGGTGCATTAATTCTTCTGAGTGTCTAACCAAAGTCCTCTTATGACAAGCCAATCTTCTTCCTTCAGATTGGGAAGAATATGGTCATTGCGTAATAGGTCTTCATCCTGTGGGAAGGGAAGTTAGGAATATAATTTTTAGAGCTCCCCATTCAGTTGCATTGACCCCTGCAGGATGCAGGCTGACTTGGGTATTATGGGGTGTTTTGAGGCGTGTCTGTGACCCATGGCACCTAGGCTATCAGCCAATTGATTAAGAAAACCTCATTCCCCTATTCATCCTCCCAATTAATTCTAATGAGGTGCTTCTGCTGTATAGGGATCACATCTCACATCCCAGAAGCCAGTGGGATTTGCCACAATAAGTCTGGACTTGCTTGGGCTGACCCAACTTTGCCAAAAGCCACCAAGGCTGTCAACAGAAGTAATCACTGAAACACTAATTAATTAATTAGGAGACTTGGAGATCAAGTTTAGGAACTGGTTCCTAGATTAGCTGGCCTGTAGTGATTGGTTTGATATTCAATTCACTAACCCCAGAAGTCAAGGGAAGAACTTTAATCCCCCTTTCAATTCCCGGAAGAGAGTTTTGTCTGCTCTTTTCAAATTAGTATTTCTGCCTACTAAAATAGCCCCAAGGGTCAAATTGCAAACAGTAATACTGACCATCAACTAGCCAATAATAATTTGCTGATCATCTATTAGACCATTCAGCATGCTGGGAACTCAGCCTGCCTTGTATATTAAATCCTATTGCCATTCAACTCCACTGTATTATTGAATATCAAGGGATGTGACCTAGATGGTTAGAACTACGTATGCATGGCTCTGGAGAGATTTAGCTGGAAACATGCAACCTCCAGAGCATGGGAGGAATTGAAACCAAGAGGAAATGACATCACTGTGGAAGAAATGCCATCAAGAAAGGACAGGAGCAGCCTGAAGCAGAGGGAAGATGCAGATGGAGTTGATGGAAGCAAGCTGATAGGACATTTCAGAGGGGATGGACCTTCAGCAGAAGGAACCGATGAGATTTGGTAACTAGAGGACATAGATATGCTGTCTAGGAAGTAAAATGGAGGTCAGCTTTCTTTCTTTGTTCCGAAAAGTGAGCTCAGGGACAGTGAGGGAATAGCAAAATTCATCCCTGGGTGTTTGGTGGGAGGGGATCAGGAGCTTGAGAGAAGGTATTAATAGGAATAAAGTGACCATTGCCCAAGGTGGGAGAGCAGGGCTTTCGTGGCGAGAATAGAGCTATGCTGAGAAGCTAAGGGGTTCAGAATATGGTATCTTAGGCACAAATATTTCTTGTTTACAAATATGGAAACTGAGGCACTTTAAGGGTAAGCATCTTGTCTAAGATACACAGTGGTAATGATGGTGATGGCTCTGGACGAGGCAGGTATTTACAACTCTTTCCAACCAGCTACATCACTGTAATCAGAAGAGGCCCAAGTTGTATACTATAAACAGCTCATAGATAATTTATCAGTAGGAACACTTACCCTTTATGGGGAATTTGTGTACATTTTCAAAGAGACTTATGAAAGATAAGTCTTTGTTTTCTAACTCAGACTTGATCAATTTGTGGGAGGCAGGAGGGCTACTATGTGGAACAGGGAGCCTTCTAGAACTTGGGTGTGAGAACTAAGGGACATGGCCTGATTTCCTGCTGGGCCTCAGTCCCATGGCCTGTGTAGAGCAGGGTTTCTCACTGTGACCTGGAGATTAAGGACAATTGCCAAGGCCCTCTTGGCCAGGCCTGTCCCTTAGGCATGCATGGGCCCATCAGCACCAAGAATCTGTTCCCAGTCCAAGTCCCCATACCCATGGAGTTGCTTTCCCTTCTTGCAACTGGAATAGTCATACAGTGGGTCCTGGTTACAGGGAGGCTCCATCCTTGTAGCGTAAACATGAAGTCAATAAGTATCAGGTGAGGGTGAGGCTATGATGAGAGTTCAGCCGAGGACTGTGCTGGT